ACAAGAATATGTACTCTTTTGATGTAAACTCGTTATTAACTAATGTGCCTTTGATCAAAATAGTTGACATTTTGTGTGATTATATTTCCACAAACAATTTTTTCATCCCGTTCCCTACATCTTACTTAAGGGATTTATTACTTCTATGTACTAACAATGTTAGGTTTACATTTGAAGGCGACTGTTTCCGCCGAGTTGATGGTGTTGCTATGGGCAGTTCGTTAGGGCCCCTTTTAGCAGATATTTATATATCGAACATTGAGAATTTATCGGAGGATTTAATCGAAGATGTGCCACTTTATAGAAGGTATGTAGATGATATCGTAGTCATCAGTGATAAGTTTTGTTCTGCCACCTCAGTTTTAAACCGAATGAACGAAGTTCAGAATAGCATATCACTTACATCTGTAGAAGAGGAAGATAATTGTTTATCTTTCCTATACATATTGCTTAGTCGACGGCTTGATGGTCAATAAAAAGATCTATTTATAGAAAACCTACCTGGACAGGACAGTATCTTAATTACCACAGTTTCTGCCCTGTTCGGTACAAAAGAGCCTTAGTAAGGTGCCTCTTCAGTAGAATCCAACGAACATGCACTGAAGATGCACTTGATGAAGAAGAAAGAAAGTTGACACAAACTCTGGTTAATAACAATTATCCAGACAAGTTCATCAGGAGATATAAAGTAGTCAGAACACTAAGACCCACTGTCCAACTCGCTCCTAAGAAAGACGTGTACATAAAGCTACCCTATATGGGGCATCAAAGCAGCTTGATAACTAGACAAAGACTGAACGCTGCTGTTAAAAAACTTTTTATGCAGCTAATATCATATCTTAGATAGGTTATTAATAGGTTTAATAAATTGTATACTACAGCAACAGATTAAATAAGCAAAAGAGCCTACTGAATAGGCAGTACGCCATTCATATCATGGAAGAAATATATGATGAATGTCAGTGACACAAATAAAGTCTTCTTTCATTCCTACTATATTCATTCTTTTCGAACAAAAGGTGGTCACTACATGGCAAAAGGTATCTACACGAATTAAACAAATGACGAAGAAAGATTAGTACAGACGAATCGAAAAACATTATTAAATGTGAAGTCAATTAAATAATGTTGGAGATCCCCGGCAAAGAAATAGGGGAACTCAAGAAACATAGCCTAGTGATAGTTGTGTGAATATTATTACGGTTTGCCAAAATGATGGGAAAATGTATAAGGGATTAAATATGAGAAAGAGTTAATTCAATTCACGAACGTAAAATGAATCCTAATAGCATACGAAGAACACCCATATGGATCATACGTAGACAAAGTCACGAATACAACCGACTGCTGTGTGCAGTAGCAAGCAGTCACAAAGTTTAGATGATTCTGTAAGGACTGCGTAAGCGAGAAACGGTGCAAAGGTTGTGAAATAAGGAATTTTCGAATGGACTGTGTAAAAAGAAAAAGATGTTACATAAAACACAGTTCTAATTAAAATTGGCTTTGAATTTCATGAAAGGTGGTTACGTACATTAGCATGAAACTTTACACACCGCTCAATTAATTCATAAAGCGAAAGCAGAACCAGAAATTATAATAAAAAACAACCAAATGGAAGAACTAAAACAAAACTTTAAACAAAAAAGGAAAAAATATTGATGATGGACAGTAGAAAACAATCAGGATAGTAAAATAAATAAGGACTACGAAAACAAGAAATTGAAAACCACCATGTGAATCAAAGTGGAAAAGTTTATGTCAAGCATCTAAGCAAATTACAACAACAAACATTTTGACAAGCTAAGTTCAGAACACATAAAGCATAATTTCATGTAACCGTAAAAACACTTTATCCTTTAAATCTTTATGGCAATGATTACACATTGAGGCAGTGCTTCTGAACATGCTAACCTGTCTAGCCAGAGCACATCAAGAGGAAGATAGAAGGTCAACTACTTACACTGCGCGAATGCATTCGAGATCATTCGCTTTTTGACATTGACTAGAACTTGGCTTAAAGGTTGATGTGTATTGATCTTTTCTCTGTGGGACGAACGTTTTGACCACAAAATAGCGGTCCGCTTAGCACAATCTAAGTTAATTTGGTGACTAGATAGCTCCTAATGCCGTCCGTCTAGTGGAGAAAGCATAATTAGTTCACGGTAGTCGACAGTTGTGATTAGGAAAGTTTCAGGAACATAATATCTCAGGACAATAAACTCATCATCCTCTTGTCAAAGGGGATGGATTTTTCAAAGCTCTGTTGTTTCTGTGAACTTCTTTGATGCTCTACTTTCTCACATCCCCCTAGGTTTCCTGACTAATCCACACTGATAATAAACAGGTGATTACTGACTTAAAATCTACATGTTAACTTCTTGCTGATTACTGGATGACTTCATGATGAATGAAGTGGAGTTATAAGGAGATATCATAATCAATTTGTGGCATCAGGAGGATAGCGCTGATTGGCCATGGGACTATATCAGGAATCGAAGCGAGCTGAAGTTGATATTCAATTTGGCTACTAGCAAGTGACCTGTAGGCATATAGGAGAAGCCTACAAATTTCCGGAGATCTCCTAACATTTAAAGAAAGGTTTATACGGTCAGCTAACAACACAAACAAGACAAATCACTTACCATCACCATACTCCCTAACACAAAGGCTTGTTATACACTTCTCACTACTGTTCTTACTTACTTGTTTTGCGTCTACGTATTAACTCACTTACAGTGACTTGTTTTATAGCCTGTAAATACCCTTCCTAATTATTTTCATCTATTTTAGCATGAAAATACCCGACAGGCAACTATCAAGAGAAGATATACAAGAACTTGGGGTACTGATGTTTGTTGCATATATAAACATATATTTTGTTCAATAAGATGATCGGATGTCTATAAGTTAATGTCTGTCAGCTGTTTAATAATTTAAATATCTCCATTATAAGTATAAAACTAGGGCACCGTGGTAGAGTATAACTCTGTTATGTTAAATATAAAACACGATTAAAGCAAGCATATACGTATTTTCGGTAAATTCCCACCCGGTCTTACATTTATATAATAAAGTGTTAGTCATAGATATTTGAAAAAATGCGGATCAGTTGAATCACATGCCAGCCACTGAATTACTGGCATTGAAACTCCGGAAAAAAATTGGTAAAACACTCTTTGCCGCAACACCATGTTTAGGATTCTCTATTCGTTATATAATTCCACTACAAAGAAAGGGATAAACTACGAATCTGGTTTCTTCACTGCATTTATAAATTTAACTGCTCTTGTGAGGACAGTTACACAGGTACAATGACTCGAGAAGCCCACCGTTGCCTTCTTGAGCATTGTCCAGTGTGGTCAGGTAAAGGAGTCGTGAATTAAATCAGGAGACCCATATTCGCAAACCTTGTAGTTACAGGTCAAAAAATTAATAAAAGTCCAGCCTTTACAGTTCTATACAAAGTGCCACCTCAGTACTCTAAGATTTTACGCCTTGGACTGCTATGCACAGATGAGACAGTTGCAATAAAACATTTTTTCGAAACCAATCTCTGAGTTCAGAAAAAGTTGTACAATTCTTCTCCCTTCCTACAGCCTTCAACTCGAACCTACAGTAGATGTCTCTGTGACACTGGATAACGGTAAATACTATTTTTATTTGTATTGCTAACCTCATTACCAATATCATACTCTGCTATGGATGCGTACTTTAATCTTAGTTCCACAATTTATTATTATTCTTAAATTCTACTTGACTATATCTGATTCGATTGATCCACATAGTTTTAAATATTTATGAATGATATTTAATAGTGTAATTGTAAAGCCTGATAAGAGTTTATCTATTTGCTTGCTGAAATCGTCTTTTATAATCAGTTATTTATCTTATTTGTCACACTTATTTTACGCATTAGGTTTTATTTAGGAAGCGTTATGTAGCATGAAATGCGGCCTAATCTTTCATGAATGTATCGGTCCAGACAAATCGCGATATCATTATTGCATTTCTGAAAAATTCCGTCTTCATTTTCTGAAGATTTTTTCACAATAAAGTGCCTTTGAATAACTTGTGCTTAATTTCATCCGCTATTACTGAAGGCAGAGAAGAAATTGTACAGTGATTTATGGAATTACCAGTTCGTTGAAGTAGCCAACAAGTATAAGGTGGTTTGAACTGACTCGCTCCCTGAGCTGAGTCAAACGGAGTACACCGCTGATGAGCTCATCCTCGAATGAGTGAAACCGCTATTGTGTTGGGTAACTTCAATCTCGCTGGCGAGCACTACTTGTTGGTATGAGTTGTATACAACTACTCACCTCAATCAGTCAGTAGTGCATAGTGTAAACAATTATGCTTGTTTTCTTGATTACCATTTACGGTATCAAGCAGAACAGATACTGTGATTTGGATAATTTAGGTTTCCAAAGGAAACTGTGATGAAATTTCACCTCAAACTATGTAAATTTCAAATTAATTCGGAAGCCGCCATTCTGATTTATAAAATTTAAAGCAAATTTAATTTGATTTTCTAACGGTAACTGATCAAAAATTGCTTAATTTGTTTCAAATATTTATGTTTAGCTGTTTGACAAGCACTCCTCAGACCATATGATGATTCAGGTGCTTCACCCCTATATTTACGCTGCTTTACCAAAATGCGTATTCAGAAAATGCTTACGTGAGAACATCAATATTTGCTGGACACCTGTGTACAACTGATAATGGTGATCTACAAGTCCTAAAAGTTTTGATTTGGAAAAAATCAAAAGTTAAAATAGGAAGTTACCTGAGACTAGAAATATCTAAAAAATGTTCGCATTGCTCAAAAACCGATTAATTGTTCAAATCTCACAGTTATTTATATATTGTGTGGATAAATAGATACATACTTTTACGGAAAAATTGATCTGATATTTTATGGAGAGCTTCGGCATAGACAGCCATTCGTTTATGAAACTTGTTTTTTAATTACTAAACACAGCTGGTTTATTCTAATCTTAAATCAATAATGAATCTTCAGTACCAGCACTGACACCATCAAGTTTAAGTTCACTGCTTTCAGAATTTAACTTGCTTTCTAACAAATGACCTACAGGTTCCAAATCTTTTCGGATCTGTAAATTGGAAGAAAGTGGTGAATACATTATATAAATAAATATATATATATATATATATATATATCATGAAAACAAAATCTTCTTTTCTGTATCATTCAGTATTACATCAAAGATCTTATCCACATTTACTGAAAAGTTAATCAATTTACTGAAACAAACAAATAATTAAATTAACTGGCCTTCTGCAAGTATAACACTCACATGCATTTCTGGGAGAGAAAATCGATTACATCTAGGCATTGTTCGTGGTGAGGTGATTTGGCTCGATAGAGATAATGTTAAGCGCGAAACCTTCAACTCACCACATTAGCAAAACAGTTGGCTCTTTTATCCTCTCCTATTTGTATCTATGGTGACACTATTTCAATTAACTTATAACTTTAGAGATCAACATTATTATCATTATTTTACACTTTTCGTACATTTTTGACTTAATTGTCATTGTTAATACCAAAAAAGCCGATGTGGCGTGTGCTACTGACAAGATTTATCATTAGTTTATAAAGAGACGTTCACTGGTACAAAGTATGAAATAGCGGAAGGTTAGGTTTGACGTTAAAGCCATTAAATGAACCAGTGTTGCAGCAAAACAGAAGACAAAGAAAGATAGTGAGTGCAAAGGGCAGAAATAGCACAACACAGAAGATGTGCACAAATTACGGTTTTCATTTAAGGTGTATGAAATTTTCTTATATAGAAATAATAAATTCCAAATAAGCATACCGTTGCCAAGTCTCTTGTCTCCTACCACAGCACTGTTACTATCAGTCCTGTATTATTCTTTTAAATTTTTTTTCTGTTGTCGAGAAAAGTGGATTCATTATTGTACCAAATACTGAGAATTCCACGCTGATTCATAAGTACTGTTTTGAGATAAAGCAAATTATTGTTATTAATGACTGCATCTCGCAGCTCGATTGGTATAGCACCTCTATTTCTCTTCGCGTCTAAGAAAATCAGTACAATCTTTACTGTCTTGTGAAAGCCATTTCAGTCAGTTAGTGTAGCAGATTTAATTTGAACACAACTAGACTGAAATAACCGATTATTCATGATTAATATAATTTCATTGTAATGTCCATATTTTATTTCTTCTTGAGCGCGAATAACCACCTAAACTGGCACTTACATGAAACCATCTGGTTTTATAATTCTTAACAGTAATCTGCAATAACATTATTGGTAAAGTCTTGTGAAATATTGTTCCCTCTTAATATTGATACTTAATTCAAGAGAAAAAGAGAGCATTTTATTCAGGATAATCTTAATATGACCAATAAGATGTATATCGCGCTACTCTGAGACATTTTATTTACTTTGTTGAAGTTTGTGAAACTATGAAGGTGACTACTGTTTATTAGATTTCGTTTTAAAGTACTAAGGCGTTCAGCGTTCGCTGAAATGCTTCCTGGTTTCTACTACATACATGAACATTCATTATTGAGTTATTAAAATGTCTCGCATCACGCAATCCAAATACTGTTTAAGTGAACGAAGTCAGCGTTGTTCATTTATTGAATGTTATAAATACCCATGTAAAAACAATTGATCACAACAAACCTGTGGAAATTCTGTTACTAAGTGGTCAATAACTGCCATTAAACTTCGAGCGCGATTAATCTGTCTTTTTCTCTCATTTTCGGCTGAAGTGATAGAAGGACAAAGACGCCGATACTTGCCTTCTTTAACTTGCTCCCAGTACACTGTGGCATGCTGACGCATTTGGAGTTCAAAAAGATCCTGGAAGTAAAAACAAACGGTGATGGAAGCAATACTAATAGTCATTCAACATAAACCCAAACAAATTTTATATTGAGAAGATAAATAGTGTGGGGATTAATATCTGATTTCCATCGGCGCCAATCGGAATTAGTTTGCTATAATGTTTCTCGTAGTTGTACAGATAGACAACGAACTGATTTTATCATTTTAAAATAACACTGTTTGGCCATTATTATTGTGTACTAAGTGAAATACTTTGTGAATATGCATATTCCTCTCTCTTCTTTGAATATAATCATATCAGAGTAGCAGCCTGGAAATTACCTAATGGTTGTATAATGATCTCGGTAGGCAGGCAAATCTATGTTCACCACAGACAGACAATTTTGCACGATTTCCTATCAAGCAATGAAAAATTAAAGACTTGAAAAACGGAACGTTTTGCGACTAACTAAATGTGGAAATCTGCACAAAAAACACCACATGAAGTAAATATGCTTCATAAAGCAAGCCTAAAAGTTGACGAAATAAATGTATGTCAGCTACAACAGACGAAGGCGTGTCGAAAAGAAAATAATTGAATGTAAACATCGATGATGAAAAGAAGTAGATACAAAAGCTGAGGATTTAGGTGTAGAACAGTATGAGACTCAATCGTGTCACTAAATTCTTATGTCCCATTATGAACAAAAGAAATAAAAAATGATGATAATCTTATAATAATCTGAAGTGTCAAGGAAACACTAAACATCAGTCGGTGGCCTGCCTAAACTGCTGGGCTATCTGAGTTTCCTACCAACATAATACATCAAATTTCTTTCGTTTTTTCACGATTGTCTCATTGGATCACTTAATTGGAAAGCTTGAACTACAGTAGCCAACCCACTATATAACTTTCGAAAACCATTTAGAGTTACAGGTGGTGTAACTGAATCAAATTACGCTTCCTTCTCTGGTTGTGCTCAACGAGTTCAAAGAATATCGATTTTTTGATTACCGTGTGAATAATGAGTGAATTGGAGAAGCTTGACAGGATAACTGGTTTTTGAAGCATTATGATTTTTTGATAGATTAAAGAACAGATAGTGAAATACAAACTAATATCCAAACACCGTTATCTAAGGCATTCTTCTCAAAATTGTGTGACCTTCACTGCTCCTCACTTGTAACCAGTAGCTAAGGTGAATGGCAAGGTCGACTGGAGAGGCTAACACAGTATAACTTTACCGCAAAGTGTAGTAGCGCACATTTGTAATTCGTTTTCAGCCTACTGCTACGCGTATTTCGGAGACGAAGGTAAAAGGACAGCTATCAAGAATAACAACCAAACTCAAGAACCAGTGAAATGATTTTTAACAACCAATCAGACTGCTGCTTTGCACAAAGAATTTCCATGATAAGTTTCAATGTTTTAATACCAGTAATATGTTTCGTGGTACCAGGGATAATCAATTAAACTCACGACTGGAATGCACATCCTTGATTGGGGAGTGAGCAGAGTGAATCATTCCTTAGATTTTATCGACTGCGACTTAGACGATTTCGATATTTGAAAAAGTATAAAAATGATATGCAGATCTCAAAAAGACACGTACAGTCACTTAGACAAATTTACCTACAGAGACTATTAGAGATTGTCAACCATTGCTATAGGAAACTGGGAGACACTTTGCAGTATGTTTAACTGTTTTGATAATGTTCGCGCTACTTTACCAAATAATAAATGTCAGTCTTCACGGTATGATTTTCAAGATTATTTCATTAGTTGTTGAGCTGAGCTGCTTTTCTTTACAATTGCCAGAAAAAATATCACGATAAGTTAGTTTGTGCTTTAAATCGAACTGCACTATGTCCCGCGATATACTATCGATTACTATTTAACTTGAACATCATGATCCAGCATACAATTTTATGCAATGAATTACTCAGGAAATGTACATTAATTAGGTCAACAATTTCTAAATTATAAGGTTATTATTACTACCATTACAGAAATAACACAGTAAATGAGGTAGTATTTGGGATAATTATGGCTTGAATAGTAAGTTGTCATGTGGCCAATAAGACTGACTCATCCAATCTTTAACCTTAAACGCTTTTTGTACACAAAAAGGGTTTGCATTTGATGTTCTTTAAGAGATAAGTATAACGTCTCTACTATGAAAACACTCATTATTCCTATTTGATTCATGAGTCACTTCAATGTGTTGAAATAAATCACGTAATGTCCGAGTTAGTCATTACAGTATTAATTTCAACATTCTTGTACATCCTTCTTTCACTTGTCCTTTATGTTTTATTTTTAATAAATTCACTATGTCTATCCATCGTTTGAAGTTTTTCCAGTAAATTTATTAGGTTTTCCGAAGTGAAAGTCACGAACAACAAAATTATAGACTTTATAGGTTAGTGTTTGACTGCTTTCCTTTGGAAATTCTTCATATTACACTGCCAGTAATTTCGAACACTGTAGAACCTTGGTTTACCTAGGAATCATGCGTGATAGCGTAGATATCCCTAGTCAAACAGAATAAATAACAACCGCAGCATTATTGAAAGGGCAGTATATTCAGATCACTTACTGGTATAGTAGCATCAAGAGTTGGGAAAGTATGCAGCAATTTAGCACAAGTATATTGTATTATTTAAATAAATCTACAAACGCAAGTGACTTACAATTTGTTTCTGATCAATTAATGATTGTAGTTTCTTCATCAACTCATCAGCTCTCGTCTTCTCACTTTCAGCGTCAGCTTTTTTCATTGACAATTCGCTTTCCAAAATATTGGTTTTTTCCTCTATTTCTCCAAGTTCTTGTGTACAAATGGAAGAATTCTAAATATTTTTTAAAAAATTTGGACGACAGAGAATACTGGTTTGTAGTGATAGGTATTTCAATACCAGCAAGTAATTCTTCATCATGACCGTATTAGAGAACAGATTCAAAGCTCATTTAGCACAAATCCAAATCATAATTCATCGAACTACGGTTAGTATTATATCATAGAAACAGTTCAATTTTAGTCTTCATTTCATATATCCTACCATGACTTGTAAGTGTGATTCATTAACTACTGAAATTAACTTAGGTTTACAGAGATTAGGATGATGTATAGGTAATGTGAATCACTTTGGTAATGTGATGTTCCCTTAGCCCGACAAAGTTTGAGTGAGGAGCTTTCATTGTCCTTAAACACAACATCCTAAGAAACGAAGCTTTCAAAATTCCCCATAAAAGAAATAATTGTCTTCCGATGGTGTAGTGCAATATATGAGACAGATGTCACTAAATAAGAAAGGCACTACAGTAATCAAAACAGGTGCCTATATTATCTTAACGTTTATGAACGCAAACGGCGGGTCAAAAGGCGTTCATTCGTTCACACGAATACAACTGGTCGATTAAGACCCTCACTGACCATGCACATCATCCGAGGTTCGATCCCCTGTCGACCAACACTTGATTCTAATGGTCGGCCTGCAAAATTTGGGCTACCGATATCACATACTTGTACCAAAACTACGGTGTGGAGTCAAGCTATAATAAAAAGAACTACGGACATCCGTTTTACTGAGGGAATTTAACGATATTACACACAAGAAACACAAAAATGACAGAAATCTTCAGTATCTGGCACTCAGATCACTTTGTGGTTAACATACATATTGATACATCCCCTTCGAATCAGAATCCAAGAACACAAACGAGCTGTGAAAAGACATTATATATATTCTTTCATATCAGTGAATGTAGACAATCATGGACATCAATTTGATTGGGATAATGTCGAAATTTTAAACAGAAGAAACACCAAAAGTGCCAGAGAATTTCAGAAGCCTCGTACTCAAGCAAATATGCTATTAACAAACATGTTAATATAGACCAGATCCACCAACTAATGAAAAGTAGATCATGTGACGAGAAAGGTCAAAATCCAAGTTAATAAAAATGATTAATACAGATGTAAATCGACTACCAATCACGAAGACAGTTACCAGGAAACGCAGTTTTATCATTCAAAGAGAATTTAAATCAGTTAATTTTATGCTAAAACTTGCCCTGAAGATGCTGTCCAGAATTACAACGAAAGCTACGCAATTAAACCAACCTACTAGCTCAGAGAACACAACTAATTGCAAATCACTCACCCTAGCTACAAATCTCTATTATTTCAAACTGATCAAGTAAAACATAGCAGGTTACACCATTGAAAGGCTGAATGTCAGGTCAAACAGACGACCAATACCGATACAGGTGAATATAACAATCAGATTAAACAGTAAAAATAACAGAATCAACATTATCTACGGAATGGATTGCATGAACTGTGAAGAAATACTGTGTTGACCAAAGAGGATGTCCCCTTGATCTTTGCATCCATAAATACACACTTATAGTAAAAACATGTGGTATGCATGCGTTCTTATCATCAGATAAAGTGAACAACTACGAACTGTAATTCAACTGGGTAGACGTAAAAATCTTAAGCAGAAGGAAATACGAAGAATGTTACAGAATCTCAAGATATTTACAAAAAACAAAGGCACCCACTTAAAAGCCACACATATTAAGTAAGTTCTTCCGATGAACCTATGTTGTAATAAAATTTATATTTTGAGACTCTTTGTTAAACAGTACGGAAATCGGAAACAAAAATTTTAGTGTTCATAATAATAGCATAGCAACAGCCATTCCGCATTATTTACTCTAACTCTATTTTTGCACTTGATATTAAGCTTTGATGTGAAAACTGAATCTGACAAAAAAAACCTTATAAATATGGAAAGTACCTGTTTAATAGCTTTCAATTTTTGTTTCAGATCATCAATATGACGCTGAGCTGTAATGCGGACTTGTGTTTTATCTTTTTTCAACTGCACAAGTTCAGACTGATTCACGATAATATCACGCCTGAAAATAAGAAGACTGCATAAGTATATGATGTCAACTCAATAAATAAAGCATTTCATAGGTTACTACTGAATACATGAACGAGGTTATCTTTGTCATCATTAACTGCAAGTTGCTCTTTTGAATGTTTACGCTCACAACACTTACTGCTTCTTTAAATCATTTCCGTTTGACGGTTTGAATGACTGATAAAAGATTTTGTTTTATAACAGTCTTCTTACTGATGAGTGAATGATAACATTATATACATAAACATATATTATATATATGTATGTATAACTCTGGCATTTTAGTTGATGTGTCTCAAATGAGACGAAGTGCACGTCCTGGTTTTCACTTCTAACCACCATCAACCCAGCAACAAGAGACGTACATTCAACTGAAAGTGTCTACAACATCAGAAGTTTAGCATCCACTGAAACAAGCTGTCTCTCATCTTACTTATTCACTGGGGAATTATATAATTTTACCTTTTGCCAAAGGATGCAAATGATCCATAAAGAATCTGAATAAATCGGTCGAAAGTTTTACAAGCATAATTACGTTAGAATCAAAAGCTGTGGAGCTAAATAAATCAAACTCTTGATATATCTAAAGTATTAGTTAAAGCTTTATAATTTTACTACCCATTTTTCAGGAGGCGAAACACAAATCCTCTCTTTCTGCAGTTAAATGCTAATTAACTGGTGTATAGCTTACATGCTACTGAGAGTTTTCTTCTAAATACCACACCCATACTTAAGTATTTATTCAGTTTTTTAGGAAAAGCCTTATTTGAAATGAAATTTCTCTCTGGCTACTGCCAAACGAATTCGGTATCAGTACAAATACTTATATTATCTCCAGCCAAGAGATTTTCTGAAAAAATGCACCTTAAAGTATGGCTATGATAGGGCTTTGATGTAGCACTGAAGGAAGTGACAAGTGAGATAATGAATTGGCCATCTTAAGCAGAAAGAATCTAGAAGTATTGACCTCTACATCAGCAGCTTTTACTAGGTATGAGATGGCATTTACTTAAAATGAAGCTGAACAAATGCCTTTCTTCTTGGTGGTAGCAGAAAAAGACTACTTTTAAATGAGATTAAAGAATAGGCTAAGGAGTTATTGTTGTCACAAAAATCAATAGAAGTGTTACTGTATCAAGAAGCTCTTCGAACAGAATACATAAATTCTGGAAGAACCAGTGCACAGCAAACGATTCACCATAACCGCCATTTGTTAATCAAAATACGTAATCTAACTTACACTTCATAAAAGAACATATTTGACTAGAAACTTACTAATAGGTGTCCATTTCAGTAATAAACGTTAACACTGATGAACAATCAGGCAGTAAGAAGATGAAAATCCAGAAGAGTATAACAGTAATAGGTTTCAAAGCTGCAGATGCTAGGTGATAGTAGCTCCTGCACTACTGACCAGCTTACCAGGCTTAACTGTTAACAGGTCCAAAATTCGATTATCAATAGTCATTAATTCATTTCACTAAATAATGAAAGAATTCGAAATGAACTGCAAAGTGGTAGTGGCTTTAATAAATGCACCTGAGATTCTCATTTTCACAAAGAAATCTGAAATGACAGAAATCAGTGAGCTCACGATAAGATTTCACTGATGTAATAAGTCTGAACATTAATCATTCCTAAAATCCGTCAGAATAAAGCACTAGACCCTTCTTCAAAAGCCAAGACATTCATATAGTCTCAGCACTTCAACCTTCAGTTGTAAAAATAAGACGTTTACCACGGAGAAAAGAGAGAAGTAGACTAGCAAACTGAACAGTTGTTTATTGCTTTAAAGTGTACCTATCAGGCTGACACACAATATAGACCACTGAAAAAAGTGGCACAATTATTTAAAATGATACAATCTGGTCTTAATTGTCATATCTTTGAAATTTATTTAAAACTCTATAAAAGCTTACTTTGACACAGAACGCTCTAGTGCTTGTATCAGCCTTTCTTGTTGCTGAAGTAATGAAGATTTCCGTATCTCCATACGATGAATTTCATGACGCATAACACTAATCTCGCCTTGACCCATTTCACAGTCAACTGATTTTTTTGTCTCTTCGCATAATTGCACTTTCTTTTCCCACAACATTATTGCTCTCCTAAATTGATATAAAATGAAATAGAGTGTGGTGATTGACGATTTCTATCCCTGTATTGTTTAAATACTTACTGTTGATTGTTAATATATTTCTTATATGAATTGAATTGATTAATAATTCCGCCAAATACAAATTCCTGAATTCCGCCCTCTTTGTGTTTTGGTTGAATTCTTGTAATTCGGTCATCTCGAAATACTAATACTACGCTTACAAATAATTACCACAAATTCGCGTCGCGATGGAACTAAATAAACTTGGAAAATTACCTATAAATGGTTCTCCGTGGGAAATTGATGATGATCTTGAATGCTTGATGCATGGTGCATTTCAAAGAACGTTCAGGATGACAAAATTCCAGCACATTTCATTACAGCTATTGGGCTAGATGCATATAGCCTAGTAAAGAATCTGGCGTTTCCAGATAAACCTATCTCTCTATCATATGACAAGATCTGTGAACTTCTGATACATCACTTCCATATAACTACTTTTGAGACCAGAGAGAAGGCTCAATTCAATAAACTGGTTCGTGCTCCCAACCAGAAGATAGGAGACTTCATTCTTCAACTTCAATTACAAGCTTCAAAGTGCAACTTTGGAGATCAGCTGCATACTCATCTACGTGATCGTCTTATTCCTGGAATCAATATTCCTAAGTTAGAGAAAGAGTTAATTCAGATTCCTTCTTGTACCTTTCAAACTGCTAAAGATTTATGTATTACATATGAAGATGTCAATAATGAATACTCTGCTCTCACTACGTCAGTATCTGATGTCATGCTTTCTAAAGTCGAAAATACAAGTGTTCATGGAAAGCAATGCAAACTGTCGTCCACAGGTAACAGAATGCAGCGAGAGATCAATAACATTAAACCGTGTTTTTCCTGTGGAAAGATTAATCTACGAAGCACTTGACGTTTTCGGGGTGCTAAGTGTCACAAATGTGGTAAAGTTGGACACATCAAGACTGTTTGCAGAAGTTCGAATACTTATGTTACTCAGAATTCTTATGATTCTCTCAATCTGTCTAGTAAAATGGAGTCAATGTGTCTTTCAACTTTTCAAAATACTCAATCTCATCTAATGAGAACCTCTACTACAAGTTCAGAAACTCAAGTGTCAACTGTTTTCAAAAATGTGGTAGCCGAATTACAATGCGAACTGTCGAAAACACGAAAAAAACTGAATGAGATGAGAGAGCAACTGATTAAAATGGAGGAATTGTTGCATATGCATAGACTGCGTCTGTTGAATGCAGAACATACAAGTACCCATGAAAGTCCTGCAAAACTATTCAAATCTCGAATTCTCAGAAAGCATCTGATGTCCACGACTTCTAATGTACATTATTACAAAGGGAATGACTACAGACCTTCTGTTGTAATTATACTACGAAAAATGGGAAATCGAGTGGTGGAGATATTAGACAAATCGAAGATCACTCAGTTCATAACGGACACCTGGACAAAGTGACAATAAATGAAGTAGGTCGATCCAATTATAATTTTAATGATTCCGCTACTAATCCTGATTTTGCAGATAATTCAGAAACAAGTCCAGATAATACTGATGAAAATAATATCACAGAATCAATTAGAAGGTCGCAGCTACTTGCAAGCAAACCGAGACATCGTTATAAATACGCAAGGAGATATTCGACGTGTGGCGGATGTGGTGATTGACAATTTCTATCTCTGTATTGTTTAAATACTTACTGTTGATTGTTAATATATTTCTTATGTGAATTGAATAATAATTCCGCTAAATACAAATTCCTGAATTAATATCAGTAAAAAGTTTGAGCATTGTGAATACAAATCATAAATGTGTGAATAAAACAATTCCAACAGTGGTGTGAACACGGGCAGTAATTTTGCTCGAAATATTACCAATAACAAAACTTATCATTGTGTGTAAACTATTAAAATATAATTATACTTTATTTAACAAATTCCTGAATTCCGCCCTCTCTGTGTTTGGTTGAATTCTTGTAATTCGGTCATCTCGAAATACTAATACTACGATTACAAATAATTACAACATAGAGATTGAATTTTTTTAATTGTGTGGTCAGGTTATTGATAAACAGCGCTTTTTCCCAAATTAGCAATCAAAAATTGTGCATAACTAGCGAAATATCTGATAATTATAACGGTTATGACAGGCTGGAATGAAATCTGGTTAGTAGGAAATTACGGTATTGTCATCATATCTTTCTGAGTACTGAACGGTACAATCCAGATGATATTCAAACCTCAATGTATCCTTTTCATATAAGGAGAATCTCTCAATTTAGTAACTAAGTGAAGTATCTGGTTATGGATGTCATTTTTAATTGAGATACCAATATACATACTAGTGCACCTTTTCAATCAATCTAAACTCTGAGTGTATCCAATTCTTTAATAATATGGTTGGAAACTAGGGAACAAGGGGAAATAAACATATACATGCAAAACTTGTAGATTTCATAGAAAAAATAGGTTTCTTGAGCTTATTTATATATATGCATTTGGTAACACAAAACAGATGAAGTAAGCTGAAAAGTGACACTCATGTATTTTGCCCACTTCCAACGGGCAATAAAAATATCAGTAAAAACTGTTTCCGGTAAACAACTTGTCAAAATAACAGAAAGCGCCACACTACGTTAAAAAGGATTTAATTAAAAACCAACTTCTGCATTGCCAAAATCCACCAGACAAATATCAATAAACCTTCTATTACGAAGCCGTGTTAAATGACCAAAACTTAGACGTACACAGCTAGTACAAATACACCAGAAAACACTAACCGCTCATACTGAGTATAGTGCACCTGCTTATCCTGTTATTTCAGTTTGTGTTGATGGAAAAGAAACAAGGACTGGATGGATGCTTTTTAATAGCTTAACCCAAATATTTCAGCAAAATGTGTTACGCGACAGCACAATAAAACTATAGAAGGGTATTGAACAAAGGTAAAGTGTGCAACTGTGAAAGCTAATGATACATTTCATGATAGCCTTCAATAAGAAGATACAAGAATTTAAATTATAAAATGTTTGTAATCAACAAGGGTGGATAACTAGCTGAATGACTGTCATTTGTCTTAGTCTCAAATGATAATTAGATTATTCTGAATTTTACTCACAACAAAGTTTCTGAATCTGATGTTAGCTTTCAGAAGCCAATCGTCAGAAAATGAATACAACACTTTACGAACCACTTTTCATCTCCGTACGTTCTGGATAGATTAAAACGGAGCGGAAATAGTTGTCACTAATCAGGTTTAATATTCAGGTGAAGTGTAAAATTGTGCTTGCTTGAACAACAATACACCTGATCGGGATGATGCAGTTACCGTTTCCAAAAGCAAATGGATTGCAAGGAAATACTGCTTTGCTTACACCAGTAGAATACACAACGGTTGGATGCCCTCCTTATAACTTCAGCCAGAGTGATTTATTTCCCTTATCTAATTTCTCTTGAGAACAAGCTTATGTCTTTCTATGTTTTGATATTTCAATGACAAGCGGGTTGCATTTTACCGAGGAGGTTTGGTATCCCTAAATCCAACACTTCGCCTTTTACAGGCTTAAGACCCGTTAGTAGACTGAGAAAATCTCCGAGGAGCAAGATCCAAGTGTCAAGTCAGTGTTTCTGCATCACCAAAAGCACTCCAAACAGGCTACTGCGGACTTTCATCACCAGCTGGCCTCTGAAAATGCAACGGTCAACCGGAAAAGATAAGCAACAAAGAACTCTAGCAGATAGCAAACAGAATAAGAGCCTGTTGTTCAACAAATATAAAGAAAGAAATGTAGAGAAACTGGACATTCGCTAGAGAGGCCTTTAGATGACATCTCTCATAAGGATGGAAATCGAATGAAAAGTGACAGTTTAGGTGTCCGAGTGAGCCATCAGGGAGGTCATATGAAGAGGAAATGAAAGCTTGTGGATAGTTTTACAGTCAGATAAAAACGACGACAGACAACAGAGTAAGATAGTGATGTGTTGATGAATCTTTATGTTCCGTTTGGAACGCAAGAAAAAACTAACAACATTTAAGGGTGAAATGTGTATTTCTCTATTTTTTGAGGTTTATCATTATATTATCTTGCTCAAGCATACCATGCTATGCCTCCTGTGATAAATTTTACTAGATTAATACGATTGATATTAGTCACATTGAGGAAAGCGTGGAAACAAAACATTTGTGAGCAAAACACTGATCAACAGACCTCTATGAAGGCTGGACAAAAATGAACTTGAAATAAATTTTGTTTGTTAGTCAACTTACTCTACCTCAACTAATTCATTGAGTAAATTTTCTTTATCCTTCTGAGTTTGATCAACTTTTTCTTGCAAATTGGCCGCTTCAGTTTCTTTCTCTTTCAAAGAGCGCACAAAGTCAATTTCAGCCAACTTATTTTCATTGTTTAAATTTTCTTCATTGGTCTTCTCCTTAGCTATCATTGTATTCATCCTTGTTATGTCGTTTTGTAAGTGTCTTAATTCCTTCTCGAGATCATTTTTTTCACGTACTTGAATCGCAATTTCATCTTTCAGAAAAACAACATAAAAGGATTGATAATAACAAGAGTAAAATTTGTAAAAGTTGATTTAAGAGTGTTAAAAAAGATTAAATACGTGCCCATGATAAAAGATATGGAATAATAACTTACAGTGATAATGATTAAGCGTTAAATGAATGAGAAGTGGTAGCTGAATGCCAATAATAGAACCTCATGTAAATGCATAGATTCTTCACTATTTTACAATTAATTAGATTCCAAATCCAAATGAAATATTATATTTTTGTAAATAATGACAGCATAGTAAACACCTCTTCTGTTAATTAAGGTGATGCTAAGGCTAAAATTTGTTCTGACAGTACTATTGAGCATGAAATAAAAGCTATGAAGGATACTGTACGTAAGAATGGATATCCTGAGAAGTTCATTAATAAATACTCTAAAGAAATTGGCTCCTGCAAAACAATCCAAACAGTTCCGAAGAAATCTGTCTATATCAGTTTGCCGTTCAAAGGAGATGATGTACAGGAAGTAGTCAAACGAAGACTCGACAAAGCCATCAAGGGAACTTATTATGCTGCAAAACTTGTTTTCTTTAACACCACTAAGCAAGTGCTTCAACAATCTGGAAAAGACCAGTCGCCAATCCTCGACACTTCAATTTGCATATGTCAATTTGAGCGTGTTTGTGGAAGCAAATACATAGGTCGTACAGAAAGACGATTGTCTACTCGCATGATAGAGCATTTGCCAAAATGGTTGAAAACAGCTGAGTGCAAAGTGTCGAAATCCTCAATAACAAAACATCTTGTGGACTATGGACATGATATCGACGCTGTGAAGTGGTTCACTATTGTCCGCAGACAAAGAAACACGAGGATGCTTGCAATTGCAGAGGCTTGTGCAATTCGAGTTTATAAATCAGGTCTCTGTGTACAAAAAGAGATGGTCGTGACTCTGAATCTACTTATTACTTATTATTCTACCTCTTATTATTATCATTATTATTGTTATTATCACTATCATTGTTGTTGATTCATTTAAAACTATCCTTTATCAGTAGGATTATCTTAACCCACTTCAACACTATTATGATTGTTATTGCAACTATTACTGTTGATATTACTCTGTTTGCAATTCTTGTTGTATTCCCCAATGACTAATTGTTTATCTAAGTGATGTAATTGAAGCGTAATGCAATTTATCTTAATTTTGATCTCTCATACTCTTTTTCCCCTTATCTATTTGAAAACGACCTGGAAAACATTCGCACGTGTCTTTCTGCATGATTAATTCAGTGTAGTTTGTTTACTTATCAGTCTTATATCTCCCAATGTAATTTAAAAAGTATATTTATCCGTGTATGTAGAGTATTCAGCTGACGAGTTCGACCGACATTTGATGAATCCATCATTAAATCCTGCTTTATTAACCTTTATTGCTTGTTTTAAATTCGTATCGGGAAATGAATGTTTTCAATTAATGCTAAAGCAGTCAACAAAGTGATAACGAGCATAAAGAAAGACAAAAGACACTTTTACTGTAAACTGGCAACTGATGCAAAACTGGTGCCAGTTAAAAACACTACAACATTGTATCAGATAACTCGGTCATAACTAGGCGGGTATTAGTTTATGAACTTTTACCACACATTTAGAGTCATGTGTGATGAAAACAGTTTCAGTAAATACCGCCAACTGGTATTTTTCTGCCAGATATTCCAATTGTAGATTAACATTATTAAAAACCAATATCTCATAACAACATGGTAGGTAAAATTAAATTTCAAATATATTAATCAGTGGTTTGTAATCAAGGTGATAATAATAATTATTATGTTAAATTTTTTGATTACAGCTTGATTCCACACCGTATTTTTAATACAAGTATGGAATTTTCAGCGTGGATATCGGTAGCCCAAATTTCGCAGGCCGATCATAGATATCAGGTGTGCGTCGGTGTGGGCTCGAACCCCCGACCATGTTCATGGTCGGCGAGAGTCCTAACCGCTGTACCACCGACGCGGGGATAAATTTGTGTGTTTTCCTTTAATCTAGGTGTTTAATCATTGTGAATGTGTAAGTAGAATCTGTTAATTTATAGATGTGCGAAGGAACAATAACTACTATCCTGCAACGATTAAATAATACAGTATTTGGTTTCTGTACAGCTGAGGGAAAAACGTGAAAAAGTAAACGGTGTATATCAGAGGTTTATTATATATAAATATATAATTATTTACTTCTTGAAGCTGTTTTCTGTTTCAAAACTGCTACGAAGATCAATTAAATTTCTAAAGTTATGAACTTACTATCAACCCGCATTTTCTTTTGTGTTAAGATTGACAGCTGCTTGCTTATTCGTGTTGCAGATTCGGAGAGCTTAT